CCCTCACTCAGAGAAGCATTTATAATCCCCTGGAGCCAGCCTCATGTAACCTCCCGGGAGGCCAGTACCAACCAGGAGGGACATGGTCCAATAAACATGTGGCAGCGTTAAGCTTGCCCAGAATCCTGTCCATGTCCTCAGGAGCCACAGAGTCAAACTCTTCCCAGATAACGCTCTCAAGACCTGCCCCCGTCTCCTCCCCTGGATCTACCCAATCGGAGTCCAGACCTTCCCGAATCTGAGCGACTTTATCATGCAGGAATTGTACAAAATCCTCAGCTCGACCCTTTAAGGGATCTTCCCGTACCCCCACCTGAAGTAGGGAGCGGGTCACCCTAAACAGCGCAGCTGGGCGGTTCTCTGCAGATGCAATAAGAGCGGAGAAGTAGCTAGACTTCGCCGCTCTTATCGCCACTAGGTAGGTCTTAATATAAGATCTCATCTGTGTTCGGTCAGATTCAGATCGGCTTGTCCTCCAATCACTCTCCAGGCGTCTTTTCCGATGCTTCATTCATATTTAGCTTCCAGCTACCTGCAATTACTGCGAGTTCAATTCTCACCAGGCGCAAGGTTGACTCAGCCTTCCATCCTTTCTAAGGTAGGTAAAATGAGGACCCAGTTTGTGGGGGCAATAAGCTGACTTTGTATAAAATATACAAAAATATGAAGGCTATTGCTTAATGCCTTGTAAGCTGCCCTGAGTCTCCAGAGAAGGGCGGCATATAAATAATAATAATTTAAAAATGGCTGGCTGGCCATGCCCCTGAACCAGTTCATGGCCCGCAGTCCTGCCATGCTTGCCTGCCTTCCACGTGGCCTTCCTTGCATCCCTGTGCTAGTTTGCGAAGGCAGGCAAACGGAAAGCTACGTGGAAGGCAGGCAAGCATGGCAGGGCTGCAGGGACTAGCAGCTTAGTCCCTTCCCCAAAGACCTTCCATGCTTGCCTGCCTTCCATGCTGCCTTCCTGGAGTCCCGGTGGCCAGCTTGCAAAGGCAGGCAAGCGGAAGCCCACGTGGAAGGCAGGCAAGCATGGCAGGGCTGCGAGGAAGGAGCTAGCAGCTTACTCCCTTCCCTGAAGCCCTGCCATGCTTGCCTGCCTTCCAGGCTGCCTTCCAAATGGTCCCGCACACTGCTTGCCTTCTGAGGTCAGTGTCCGGCTAACCCCAATCCCACACCCTTGGATAAAAAACACAGCGGCTGCTACCTTTGCCCCATGGGGGGGGGAGAATGCAGGCATCATACCAAGCAGCCCTCCTCATCCTCCTCTTCTCCTCCACCAGCTTCAAGGCTGGGCAGGGCTCAAGTGGCAAGAGGGAAGGCAAGATGACGACAACTTTCTCCTCCTCCTCCTTGCAGGTTCATTGAGTTTGTTTTGCAAGCTTGCCCGAGGTTTGCAACTTTGCACAGCCTTTGTGGCTTTTGTGCAGCAAGCCCCCCTTTTCCTCCTTCTCCTCCGCAGTTCTAATGTGGGTTTTTAATTCACAAGGAAGGAAGAGAAACCCTACACATCCAACCTGAGGACTGATTAGTTTTTCTTGTCACTCGCGGTAGTAATCCAGCCTTTGCGTGGGAGAGAGTTGCTTCCCGCTGGCCGGGCAGCCCTTGGGGGAGACACAACCATTGCGCTGGGGCTGAGAGGGGTAGCGGATGAGGCACTGAGAGGGGCCACTCACTTTCTTCCTTTTCTGGAAGCTACTGCTGGAGCCGAAACTGCTGCTCTGCTGGGGTGTGCATGGGCAGCTCCGGGAGAGCGGGCAGATGTAAGGCTGATGCTGGCGGTGGGGAAGGGAGACCCACTGTGCTCAGCCGAAGAGTCACCACTGTGCTCAGCCGAAGAGAACATGGCGAGGCTCGCTCACCTTTTGGGCTTGGCACACTCGGCTTCTGCAGGGCCTTTGGGTGACTGCTGGCCGCTTGCCTTCTCCTCCACCTCGGGTCCCACTGGCTGTATCCAGCCCATGATGGGGGACGTGCCGCTTCTGGACCAGGCCACCTGCCCTCCCAGAGTACTTTCTTCCTTCTCCCACAGCAGCTGCTCAGACCAGATGTGTGTATGTTTGTGTGTGTGTGTGTGTGTGTGTGTGTGTGTGTGTGTGTGAGAGAGAGAGAGAGAGAGAGAGAGAGAGAGAGAGAGAGAGAGAGAGAGACAGAGAGAGACAGAGAGAGACAGAGACAGAGACAGAGACAGAGAGAGAGAAGAAAGGAAAAAAAGAAAGCAAGAGTGACATGAGTCATGTTGGCCACGCCCTCCAAGCCATGCCCACAGAACCAGTGGCGAAAATTTTTAGATTTCACCACTGCTCAGATTCATTCTTCAGTATGGGTGAATCAATGTGCTTCTGGAACCTCAGCTTTTGAACCTCAATCCTTGGTTTATTGTAGTGTTCAGTAACTCAGTTTTCCACTACTCTCTGTCTGGGAAGATTTTTCTTTCGCATAACTGCTGCCGGAGTGTGGGTACATTGGGTCTCTGTCTGCCATTTCTTTTAAAAGTTCAAAAGACACTTTTTAATATTTATTTGTTGAAGTTCAATCTTTATCTACTTCCACCATGATCCGCACTTGACATTTATCATTACAGCTAAAATAATTGTAAATTGCAGCAACAGACATGAACAATTCTTAAACATATATCCTAAGAACCATTTCTTATATTAATCAGACAGTATTACAAGAGGAAACAGCATCCCAACCTCAAAAGTCTATGGGAACAGCCAAGAATTCATGGCTTTCCTGAATTCCAAAAGGGTAGGGGCCATAAAATCTAGGTGACGAGCTCATGAGTGACTGTGCGTAGGGAGTCCTGATCTAGAAAGGGACGCAACTGGCGTATCAGGCGAACCTGATGAAAAATCCTCCCGGTCAAGTGCTCTTCTAAAGACAGCCATGAATCCAGGAGGACACCCAAGTTGGAAGCCCTTTCCATGGAGGCCAAAGATTCGCCCCCAATAGTCAGCGATGGCACCAGCTGACTATATCGGGACATCGGAAACCACAGCCACTCGGTTTTGGATGGGTTGAGCCTGAGCCTGTTTCTCCCCATCCAGATCCGTACAGCCTCCAGGCACCGGGACATCACTTCAAGGGCATAGTTGGGGCGGTCCGGGGTGGAGATGTACAGCTGGTAGAGATAATATTGAAGTCAGATAGAGACATAAGAAACTGATGGCATAATTTTTTGTCTGGTGTCATATATTTATCCCCAGGGAGTTTTAACTCAGTTACTGATGACTGATCCACTATCTCCTCTGGAAGCTGATTATGGTTCCACTACTCTTTCTGTGAAATAATAAAATTAGTTTAGAACTTCCCTCCTGTCACTGTGAGATTATGCCCTCATGTACTTATGTTTTAATTAATAATGAGAATACTTCCTTCTAGAACTTTATTCACACCCTTTAATTCATTTAAAGGTTTCAGTCATGTACCCCCTTTCTTTCTGCCTTCTAGGCTGAATATATTCACTTCCTCTAATATTTCCTGATACGTTTTCTCTCTGCTCTTGTACAATTTTTGTTGCCCATCTCTGGACTCACTCAATCTTATCGATACATTTTTTATGTGAGGTCTCCAGAACTCACTTGTTAGTGATCAAATTGCAAGTGTTCAGAACAAAGAATAAGCACTAATGAATATCTTTATGAATACATATGTATAAATTAAAACACCTGTCCAATTCTAAAACAGAAATGTATTGACAGATCCTAACTCTCACTGAAGGTTCTTCACTCATAATTACCAGCACACTTTGGCTCTGGCATTTGCTGAAAAGGAGATCAATGAACATTCTGAGATTTTACCCAATGTTAGCCTTGGTTTCCATATCGCTACTCACTATTCTGTGGCAATTATAACTTATCATTTAGCAATGGAATTCCTATCTACAAAAGATAAATTTATCTTTTGCAAATGCAATGACCAGACCAACACAATAGCTGTCATTGGAAGACCCCATATTAACACCTGTCTCAACATGGCAATCACTCTATGCAACTACAAAGTACCCCAGGTGAGACAAAAAAGGATCAATATGAGTGGCTCACCATCTATTTATTATATTCAAAAAGTGAGTCACTGAAATGAAAATGTGAGCAAAACCATGAATAAGAACATCTTGAAAGGACTGTCCCTTTTTGCTTGATGAGCAGAATTGCAGATGTCATGTAAAATTAATTTTTAAGCACCACATTTTTGTATCCCACTCAAACCCGGAGATTGGATTAAATAAACATGCATGCATTGGTTTATTGTTATTGTTGTTGTTTATTATTATTTACTTTATTCATTAAACATGAAACTCAGTCAACTGAACATTCAAAAATGCATCACAAATACCATTGACTGGTTCTAATCCGTATCTAATGATACGGCTTTCTTCCAGCGGCCTAGGTATCAACCAAGTATCTTCTTAAGACGTACGATGTTCCAAGTAGCACACTTTTTTGCACTTCCGCTGGTGTTATTGGAGGAAGCTGCAATTTGTTGATGAAGAGACTTTCTATGTTTTCAGAGAAAGGAATCTGCTTTGACTTCATAGAATGTCTTCCCCAGATAATATATGGTAATGCAGCTGCTGAGTGGATAGAAAATGCAGGTAAAATATTCAAAGTGATCATGGAAAGTACGGTCATTACAGTTGTCTTAAGTGCTGAAATTTCAGGCTTGGTGTCTTTGAGACTAATGATCTATTTTTTCAATTATGATAATATTCCAAAGGAGAGAACAGCCAAAGTTTGGATCATGAAAGCCCAGATGGAATTCACATCCATTCTAATTCATAGACAGTTGCCCATTGATTTTCTCCATGGTGCACTTTCTTTTGCAATTCACTCAAAGCAGCTGACCGGATTCCAACAATTTATGCAGAAGAGAAACCCAAACTTAGAAAAAGATGATGGGTTTATTAGGGATTTCTGGAAAGATGCATTTGAATGCTCCTTCTCCAGTGATATTACAGGTGGGAATGAAGAAAGGATCTGCACTGGAGAAGAGAAGCTGGAGACTCTTCCTAATTCTGTCTTTGAGACCAATATGAATGCACATAGTTACAGTGTCTATAATGCTGTCTATTCTGTGGCACATGCTCTGAAGGCCATGCGCTCTTCCAAACTCAAAGTGGGACGAAAAATGAATGAGAGGAGATGGAAGCTCTTCCTCCAGTCACCCTGGCAAGTAATGTTGGCTAATACAAAATTTGGGGAAATCATCAACTAACAGACCAGGAGACTGGTTTTGTGTTTGGTTTTGTTGTGTTGTTTTAACAGTTAGAATGCTTTATAGATAGTTCTATAGATACTTCTACTATATGAAAGAAAATAACAAAAGGAATATAAATCTAAGGCTTAGATAAAGACACAAAAATATGTAACATACGAACTTCATTTTATGTCTAAAATGATATGTACAGGATCTTATTCAATCCATTATATGTGACAAGTTTATATGTAGAAATTTGAAAATGGCTTTACTACTGAATAGTATTATTATTCCTCACTAGATGAATTATTCAGTTACTAAGTTTCAAAGGTGTCAAAGGTATTTATTGAAAAGGTAACTATTACTTCCAGTGAATAACAAAGTTGTCAATGAATTGCATGAAGAATATTTCAAGTTTATTATTATTTTTTTTAAAGTAACACCTGGCATTATCCCTGGATGGAAGTAAAAGATATCTTGACCTAGAATTGTCTGTCTCAGAGAATTCTACCTTGCCTACACTGTCTCTTTTTATGACCCTGTAATCCCTTAATTCAGAGTAGAGTTGGGGCAAGTGAATAGAGCTGAGTGTTTACTGGCCGGATGCCCTTCCTGACTCCACACAGAGTTCATAGCAGATATTTTCTCTTTGTGCCCTCATGGAGAAACAGTTTTCACTGTTTAGGATTGAACTCTTAACCTTCTAAATGGGATGCAAGGGTCTTCACCACTCGGTCACGATGTCACTCTCTATCTTGCCTATTATATGGGAGAACACTGAATTCCCCATTTCTGAAATGCTCAATCAAAGCAAAGTGATTTCTCAGTTCGGCTCTTTTCTTGATTTTCTGTTAGAATTCTCATCTGACAGTTTTTCAGCTGAGAGTTAAAAATGCATTTGATAAAAATATATTTTGTTTACCAGTTTGAAATAGTTTGACTGAGGCAAAATGGAAGTGCTTACTTTTCTTTAAGCCTAGGCCAAATTGAAAGAAACAAATAGAAATGTTCCCATCCCCTTCAAAGAGTCCTGATAACTTTCCTGTTTCTTTCCTCTGTTTTGTCATCTTCCTCTAGTTCAACCTTTTTTTTTCAACAAGTCTCCTTTAACAACAGTGCTGGAGAACACATTTCTTTTGGCCCCATTGGGGAAATAGAAACGGGACTTGATATTTTAAATTGGGTCACATTTCCAAATAAGTCCTTTCTGAAAAAACAAATTGGAAAGATTGATCCCCTGGCTTCCTCAGAAAAGTTCCTCACCATTTCTGACAAGGAAGCCATTTGGCCTCTCATCTTTAACCAGGTATGTCTCATTTTTCCCTTTTCCTGAAATTATTAGCCACAGATTGATGCACTAAATCAGGGTTGTCAAACTGGCAGCCACAGGCCAGATGCATCAAATGCAGGCCATGTTGACCCCAGCTCCATGACGGGGAAAAATGTCATGATAGGTTACATGATGGCAATAGGACACCACAAGTTTGATGCCCGTGGAGTAAATAATTAAACAATCACAATCACAGCAACATTTGGAGTAAGCAAGCATTGAGCAGTCCATATGCTATTCATTGAAGTTACAATGACACTGAAAAAAAAATATGTATGACCACTGTTCACACTTGCAAGCATAGGAGCATCTTCATGGCATCATTGTGGTACCAAGTTCAGAGAGCATTAAGCACCCCTCATTTCAGTCCAGAGCTACAAATGTTCTTCTTTACTGGATTAAAGAGGTAGTTTAGGATTTGACTATACAAAATATTTCTCTAATTTCAATGATAAGCTATCTTAGTATACAGGATGTCTTTCTAAGTGCATTTGCAAAATACTTTGAAGGTGTATGTACTTTAAGATAAACAAAATTTATTAAAATAGAATGATTTCTTTTTAAAAAAGTAATTTCATGATTTCAATACTTTAGAATTAACTTTTTAATAACCTCCTCTGAAATAGGGGATGGTTGATCAAATTCTTTGATTAGAGAAAATTTAATATTAATAACACTTTTTGCATGAAAAAAAGAAAAAAAATGCATTTATGATCTGTAGTTTCAATGATTTACAAAAAGAATAATTCTAGAATAAGAGATGACTTTGCAGTAAATCTTGTCCTGATGAAAAAAATAAATAAATTGGGAGCTGCTTCTTTCTCTTTTTAACCATTTTTAAAAACTTTTGTTGTTTCTTTCTTTCAAATTTTCATCATATTTTTTATTCTGTATTGGTTCATTAGTTTCTACATTCCATTTAAAGCTTTTAATAAAATGTTTTCAAAAAAAAGAAGGGGAAGACAAAAATAGAAAATTTTTGCAGAAGACTTTAATTGTCTATCTAGCTACATAGTTATTTTGCTAATCCAAGTAGAGTAATATCATGGCATATCATCCAGAATTTAAATCACTTTTGTCTGACAATTGAAATAGCCTGCAGAAACTCTGTTTTTGGAATATATTTCAATTTTTTTAAATTTTATTTATTTATTTTTTTAATTTGTTTCCCACTCATCTTGCCTCCATGCACCTCTGGGTAGCTTAAACCATAAATATACATATAAATATGCACAATCACATTACATACATTGAATCCATATCAAAATGTATTCTAATGAATGATTTTTTTAAAAAAATGCTATTTATCTTACTATCTTTCATCTATCTATCCATCCATCCATCCATCCATCCATCCATCCATCTATCCATCCATCCATCCATCCATCCATCCATCCATCCATCCATCCATCCATCCGTCTACTTAAAATGCAGCACCATTCCCACTAAGATTGCACATTACCTATAAAATTCATTAAAGAGGAAGCGTGTGCACGTATTTTTTTCTAAAAATAAAATATGAACTAATCAGTGAAAGAAAGGATATGATGGAAAAATTCTTTCTTATCTGTTTCTACATTTGTAACACATTCATTTATCTATAATTCTATACAGATACATTTCATGTTTATTATTTTTTAAGGGATAGTAACTCCAATAGTGAGGAGAAGAAAACAGGAAAATGCAACATCAATGCTTGGACTAAATATGAATAGTTTGTATATGTATAATTGATGAACACAATAATCTCCCAAAAATAAATTTTGTGTGAATTCTGCTTTTATTTACGAACAGGCATTACCTCTTTCCATCTGTAACAAGGAATGTCCTCTTGGCCATAGCAAGATAAAAGTGGAAGGGAAATTATCATGCTGCTATGACTGTAAATTATGCCCAGAAGGGAAGATAGCTGACCAATTGGGTAAGCAAAGGAATATATTAAATGCATCAATGATATAATAAATATAAACATGGGCTGAATTTTAATAAATATTAGATTCAGAATAGAGCTGGAAGGGACCTTGGATGTCTTCCAGTCCAATCCCCTGATCAAGCAGGAGACCTTATACCACTTTGTTGATTGCCATGCTGAAGCCTATACTATATATACTACAGTCTCTACTATAGGTATCTCCACAGCATTTCACTGGTCTACTAATTTAGTCACTTTGTCAAAGAATGAAATAAGATTGGTTTGGCATGATCTGTTTTTAACAAACCCATGCTGGCTTTTAGTCATAACTTTATTTGTTTCTAGATGTTTGCAGATTTTTTTTTTAATTATCTTTTCCAGTATCTTCCCAGGTATTGATGTTAGGCTGATTGGACTATAGTTTCCTGGGACAGTCCCCCCACCTTTTTTTAAGATGGGAACCCCATCAGCTCTTTTCCAGTACTAAGGTAATTCCCCAGTGTTCCAGGATTTTTGAAAGACATGGCACAATGTTTCTGAGATAACATCTGCCAGATCCTTCAGAACTCTGGGATATAAACTATCAGGTCCCAGTGATTTGTCAAGATCAGATAGTTGTTCTCTAACCATTTTCTTACTTATTTTAATTTTTATTTCTAGTCTATCTTTTACAGTTAGGTTTCTGGTAGGTTGAGCTATAGTTTATTTTTGCTTAAAAACTGATGCAAAGAATGAGTTAAGCATTGCCTCTTACTTCCTTGCCATGTCCTCTCTTTAGTGGACCTACTGTTTCCTTGACTTTTTTTCTTGTTATTTAGAAACTTTTTTAAAAATTATCTTTGACTTTTCTTGCAAATCTTTGTTCATTCTGAGCCTTAGCTTTCCTGACTTCATCTTTGCAGATTCCGGCTATACTGTATGCTGCTATTCTACCTTAGTTATGTTCCCCTCTTTCCATTTTTTTATTATTGTTCTTGTCCTTTTTTTCTTTCAGTTTATCAGAAATATCTTTGTGCAGCCATACTGGTTTCTTTTGAGAGCTGTTATTTTTCTTCTTCACTGGGATTGTGCTAGACTGGGAGATATAGTGATCTGTAGAAACGTAGTGATCTTTTATATATAAAATGCAACTCCACCTCCTCTTTTGTTAGATCTGTTTCTTTTAAATAGTTTGTATCCTTCCATCAGTACATTCCAGGCATAAGTTTCCTCCCACCATGTTTCATTAATGGCAACTATATCATATTTACCTTCATGTACTAGTATTTGAGCATTTGTGTATACGCATTTCAGTCCTTTATGGATCTGGGTATCTTTCTTATATCTACTACTGTGTATCTGGGTTTTCCATTCTTCCCATCACTCTCTACTTCACTGTGTTTTCTCCTCCTCCTCCTCCTCCTTCTCCTCCTCCTCCTTCTCCTTCTCCTTCTCCTTCTTCTTCCTTTATTTCCCTCTCAAATTTAATTTAAAACCCTTCTAATAAGATGAGTCAGTCATTTTTTGGAATATATTCTTTTCAGTTCTTGTGAGGTTCAGTCCATCCCTTTCCGGTAGCCCTTCATATAGGTAATGGAATCCATGGTCTAGGAAACTGAAGTTCTTTTGATGATACCAGTTTTTAAGCCAGTGGTTCATTTCTAAAATCTTTTGTTCCCTCATTGTATGTTGGAAGTATAGATGAAAACTGCACTTGAGCTCCTAATTCTTCAACTTTCTTATTATGGTGATTGAACATATTGATATGAAGAATTTGGTTGTTTGTTTTTTTTCATACTTCAGTAAGTTACTTGATGATAAAACCAATCAGTTCATTCTAAGTTGGACTATCAATAGATTCATCAGGTTTGAATTCTCCCGTCGTATGTTTGCTTCAAAAATTATAAACAGCTTTTATCAGAAACTTTTGTCCTTTGTTTTTGGAACTGAAGGTAACTTTGCATTGTTAATTTTTTCCCATGGTTTCAACCTGTTTTTTCTTCCTATTCTACCTATAATATTGATTGATTGATTGATGATTGATTGAATGATTGACTGACTGATTGACTGATTTTGAATTTATAAGGTTGCCTATCTAATATAATAAACCTAGGTGCCTTACCTCAACCTTTAAAAATACATTTTTTTAAAAAAAATATTATGAGGTATCAGACTAATCAGCCTCATGAGTCAACCCCTATCCTAGCGCATCACATTAGGGGAACATTTCCGAGCCTGCCACAAGGATAAAAGATTAGGAATGTCTCATAATTTGGGTAGAAAATCCTGGATGCTTCAGACCAGATGCAACTACCGGTAACCTAATCTTGTTTAGCTTCTTCTTCAGTAATATTGTACTGCTAACTAGAGCATACAAAACATTTGATAGACCAATTCTCGAATACAGCTCATCTGTCTGGAACCTGCACTGTATATCACACATTAATACAACTGAGAGTTCAGAGATATTTCAAGAGAAGAGTCCTCCACTCCTGTGCTTGCAACAGAATACCTTATACCATCAGGCTTGAAATTTTAGGCTTAGACAACTTAGAACTATGCTGCCTTCGGTCTGACCTAAGTGTAGTACATAAAATTATCTATTGCAGTGTCCTACCTGTCAATGACTACTTCAGCTTCAGCCACAACAATACACGAGCACACAATTGATACAAACTTAGGGTAAACCGCACCAAACTTGATTGCAGGAAATACGACTTCAGCTACAGAGTGGTCAATGCCTAGAATGCACTACCTGACTCTAGTTTCTTCCCCAAACCCCCAAAACTTTAACCTTAGAGATCTGTTAGGGGTGTGCATAAGTGCACCAATGTACCTACTTTTCTAATGTCCCCTTTAATTCATATCAATTTCATGTATTAATAATCATCTTTTATACTTATAGCTGTTATCTAAGACATGCTTGACAAAATAAATCAATAAAAATGAATAAATAAAATATAAAAACTCCAAACCCCCATATGACAACATTTAACATAAAAGATCTGGGGCATGCCCATCAATCTGATTTAATGAGAAAGATAAATACCATTGAATGTGGTCTCACATATAAATTGGCCCATTGACATTCAGAGATATAATGCTGATTACCAGTAATTTGAATTGCATGTGGCAAGCAATTATTATTATTATTATTATTATTATTATTATTATTATTATTATTATTATTAAATGTTCTGCTGATTGCTGCAAGATCTTGAGATCCATTCTCAACATGTCCATCTGTTAGTTGGGAAGCATAACTCTACCATAACAGGGTAGACTCACATTCCAAAGCTCCATTTCCAACTGAATCTATCTTCTAAATTGCAGGATTATGTCCTTCTAGGACTTGAATAAATATTACAGTATTCAAGGGAGATTCTACGTATGTATGTATGTATGTATGTATGTATGTATGTATGTATGTATGTATGTGTATTTCATTCTTCTTCACTTCCCATCTCCCTCAGAGAGCCGTTCTGGGTGGTATACAATTAAATTAAGCATTAAAAACAGAATAACTTAAGTTATTTTAAAGCAAAGTATTAAATATTTTTTAAAAAAGTAATATGTATGAAGCAAAATTGGTGGGCATACATACAATGGGTATGTTTCTATTCTTTTTCTTCCCCTTCTAGTGGTGTTTTCATTTTATGAACTCTTACTCCCCTATTTTTTTGCTTCATGCCTTACTTCCAAAGGTTCATAACCATGCAGAAAGGACTATTGCAATACGATAAACATGTTTCCTTCTGATATTTTTGAAAGTACTGCTGCAAAGAATAATACTGATTACTGATTAAAGATAGTTATTGTTCCTTCTTCTTCAAATCATTAGGGAATTCCAGCTTCCACTGTAAAAATGATCACCCCGGATTAAGACATTGCATTTTATTAATATCTGCTTAGAAATACAGACGTGCAGGTAGGTAGGATTAGTATTTCATCTGTGACACTTCATTTTTTTAACTTTAAATAAAATTCATTGTCTTAAGTTTAGATAATATTAATGAATGATCAGCTACTCAGTTGAATGGTAACTTAAGAGTTACTGTTTGAGGTCTACAATGACTACATATTATAGTCAATGGGTTATATTCAGAACATTAGTTTTCCTTTTTTTCCCAACTATGATGTGCATTTCTCCTCCTTACACCTGCAAACTTAGTCGTCCTTTTCCAATTGTTCATAAATACTATCAGTCTGGAGATTTAATCATTGCTGCTATTATTCATCAGGTTCTCTTTCTTTCAAATGAGATCACTTTTCATAGCCTTCCCGGTTATAAAGTCCTTGATCAGTACCTGTAAGTATCTGACTACTTCTCCTCCTCCTCATCCCGCACCTCTTCTTTGCCCTCATTGATACCTAAATGTATTTTCTTTCGCTTTTATGCTTAAAAGTATTGGTTACTAGTCAGTGGATATGACCCGTTCCAGTGACCATATTTAGTCTTTTTTAATTTCAGAACTGTCCTAACATTGATGTTGAAATTGAGATGAATATTATTAGATTTAATCGTAAAGTATATGAATTTCATTCTCCTCAAAAATTTCCTTCCTTCAACAAAGTTCCTTGTTGAAAGTAAAGAAAAGTTTGACTAATCTACATATTGCAGAAGCTCTCTGTTGAATCTTGAGGTGTTTTTTTCCTTTTATTTCATCCAGATATAAAACAGGAAACCCTCTAGTGCATAATTTAGGTTATAATATGTTTAGGGTGTAAAATGAAGCTGGCTTCCTCCCTTAGAAAATACAGATAGGATATAGATAATACTGCATGATTTTTTTTCTCCTCAAGAAACTGACTAATCTAAATATTGCAGATATCCTCTGGTTATTCTTGAGCTTATTTGTCTTTCATTTCATCCAGATATAAAAGAGAAACTGTCTAGTGCATATTTTAGACTATTATACATTTAAGTCTGAGTTGTCTTCCTTCTCTATGAAAATATAGATAAGATATAGATAATACTGAAATCAGATAGAAACATAGAAAACGGATGTGTTTCATGTTTAAACTCAGTAAACTGGTGTTTGATCCATTACCTCCCCTGGAAGTTGTTTCCAAGGTTCTATTACTCTTTCTGTGAAGTTAATACCTTTTAACAATAGTTTTGAACTTCCCTCCTGTCAGTTAGAGATTATGATCCCATGTTCTAATGTTTTAATTAATATTGAGAATACTACCTTAAACAATCTTATTCATACTCCTTAATATATTTAAAGATTTCACTCATGTCCCCCTTTCCTTCTGTCCTCTATGCTGAACATATTCAGTTCCTTTAATATTTCTTTATATGTTTTGTCCCTCAAACTGTGCACCATTTTTCTTGCCTATTTCTTGACTCGCTCAATCTTATCAATATCTTTTTTTTTAAAAGTGAGGTCTCCAGAACCGTACACAGTATTTCAAATGGGGTCTGAGTAAATGCCACCTTAGCTCAATGTTAAGTAGCCACAGGTAGATTAGTGCTTTCTAGTTGATACAATCTAGGGCTATTATTTGATAGTGACCAAATTCCAGGTGTCCAGAACAAACAATAAGCACTAATTTATATCTTTCTGTATGTATAATTCTGAAACAGAAATATATTGACAATATCTAACTCTCACTGAAGGTTCGTCACTCATAATTACCAGCACACTTTGGCTCTTGCATTTGCTGTAAAGGAGATCAATGAACATTCTGGGATTATACCCAATATTAGCCTTGGTTTCCATATTGCTACTGACTATCCTCTGGAAAGTACAACTTATCATTTATCAATGGAATTTCTATCTACAAAAGATGAATTTATACCCAACTACAAATGCAATGAGCAGATCAACACAGTAGCTTTCATTGGAGGACCCCAGAGTAACACCTGTCTCAACATGGCAATCTCTCTGTGCAACTACAAATTTCCCCAGGTGAGACAAAAAATGGTTCAATATGAGTTGTTCACCAGCTATTAATTATATTCAAAAGGTGGGTCACTGAAATGAGAATTTGAGCAAAACCATTACTAAGAACATCTTGAAAGGGCTGTCCCTTTTTGTTTGATGAGCAAAATTGCAGACGTCGTGTAAAACTAATTTTTATGCACACTATTTTTCTATCCCACTCAAACCCAGGTATTGGATTAAATAAATAGACATGCATTGGTTATTATTGTTGTTGTTGTGGAAGAGACCCTTTATTCCTATATTCTTCTGACTTTCTCGATTTAGATCACATATGGATCAGCTCCATTGATGAATACTGAAACAGCAACATTTGTCAAATGGATGTTCCTGGATGACAACCACCAATTTAAAGGAATATTGCACTTATTGTTGCATTTTGGATGGACCTGGGTTGGGTTAGTTTCTCTGCTTCAGGAAGATAAAGACAGATTTATTCAGAAGAGACTTTCCATGTTTTCAGAGAGAGGAATCTGCTTTGACTTTATAGAATGTCTTCCCCAGATAAGATATGGTAATGAAGCTGCTGAGTGGATAGAAAATACAGGTAAAATATTCAAAGTGATCATGGAGAGTACAGTCATTGCAGTTATCTTAAGTGCTGAAATTTCAGGCTTGGTGCCTTTGAGGCTAATGATCTATTTTTTCAATTATGATAACATTCCAAAGGGGAGAACGGCCAAAGTTTGGATCATGAGAGCCCAGATGGAATTCACATCCATTCTAATGCAAAGACCATTGCCCATTGATTTTCTCCATGGTGCACTTTCTTTTGCAATTCACTCAAAGGAGCTGACCGGATTCCAACAATTTATGAAGAAGAGAAACCCAAACTTAGAAAAAGATGATGGGTTTATTAGGGATTTCTGGAAAGATGCATTTGAATGCTCCTTCTCCAGTGATATTAGAGATGAGAATGCTGAAAGGATCTGCACTGGAGAAGAGAAGCTGGAGAGTCTTCCTAATTCTGTCTTTGACACCACTGTGAATGGACACAGTTACAGTGTCTATAATGCTGTCTATGCTGTGGCACATGCTCTGAAGGCCATGCGTTCCGCCAAACTCAAAGGGAGACAAAAAATGAATGAGAGGAGATGGAAGCTCTTCCTCCAATCACCCTGGCAAGTAATGTTGGCTAATACAAAATTTGGGGAAATCACCAAGTACCAGAATAGGAGACTGGTTTTGTGTTTTGTGTTGTTTTGTTGCGTTCTGTTGTTTTAACAGTTAGAATTCTTTATAGATAGTTTTGAAAGCTATATAGAAGTAGTTGATATTTTCATATGAAAATATGACACAAAAATATGTAACATATGGACTTCATTTTATGTCTTAAATGGTATGTAGAGGATCTTATTCAATCCATTATATTTAACAATTTTATATGTAGAAAATGAAAACTGCTTTACTACTGAATAGCATTATTATTCCTCACCAACTTAATTTTTGAGTAACTAAGATTCAAAGGTGTCAAAGGTATGGATTCAAAAGGTAACTATACTTAGTGTTACTTCCAGTGAATAACAAAATTGTCAATGAATTGCATGAAGAATAGTTCAATTTTTTTCCCCTCAAAAGTAACACCCAGAATTACCCCCTGATGGAAGTAAAAGCCATCTTGTCCTAGAATAGTCTGCCTCAGAGAATTCTACCTTGCCTACACTAAGTCTTTTTTTATGACCCTGTAATCCCTTAATTCAGGGTAGAGATGGGGCAACTGAATGGACCTGACTGTTTACTGGCCGGTTGCCCTTCCTGACACCACCCAGAGTTCATAGCAGATATTTTCTCTTTGTACCCTCATGGAGAAACAGTTTTCACTGCTTAGTACTGAACTCTTAATCTTCTAAAAGGGATGCAAGGGTTTTCACCACTAGACAACCATGCCACTCTCTCTCTCTTTTTTAAAAAATAATAATATAGATAAAAAAGACCAATATGTTCAAAATCCATATATACAGTGTGTTGCCTGGTTACAGTTCTTTGGAGTAGTATTCGTCATAGTCATAATAATAGTATCCTCTAATGGTAACTTGATAATTAACAGTGCTTTTCCCTCATAACATTAACTAATCAAAATTAATCAAAATTAATAATTTGCAGTAAACAACCCTAGTAGTGAGATTAATCTTTTTCTTGTCATCCTCGAGATTCTAACTCCTGTTTCTCTTATTTAACCATCGATAGAACAGATCCCATACCTCAAAATATTCAGTGTCTTCCTTTTCTTTAATTTGAAATGTTAGTTTATTCATTTCTGCACATTCTAAAATTTTCGTTATTATCTTTACTTCTGTGGGGATCTCCTCGCCCTTCCAATGTTGTGCAAACACAATTCTGGCTCCTTTAAACATGCAACTCTCTATCTTGCCTATTATATGGCAGAACACTGAATTCCCCATTTCTGAAATGCTCAATCAAAGCAAAGTAATTTCCTAGATCTGTCCCTTTCTGGATTTTCTGCTGGAATTCTCATCTGACAGTTTTTCAAATGTATTTGATAAAACTATATTTTTTTTACCAGTTTGAAATAATTTGACCAAGGCAAAATGGAAGAGCTTACTTTTCTTTAAACCTAGGCCAAATTGGAAGAAAAAAATTGAAATGTTCCCATCCCCTTCAAAGATGCCTGATAACATTCCTGGTTTTTTCCTCTTTTTTGTCATCTTCCTTTAGCTCCACCTTTTTTTGCAACAAGTCTCCTTTAACAACAGTGCTGGAGAACAGATTTCCTTTGGTCCTAATGGGGAATTAGAAACTGGACTTGATATTTTAAATTGGGTCACATTTCCAAATAAGTCCTTTCTGAAAATCCAAATTGGAAAGATTGACCACCTGGCTCTCTCAGAAAAGCTCCTCACCATTTCTGACAAGGAAGCTGTTTGGCCTCTCATGTTTAACCAGGTATGTCTCATTTTTCCCTTTTCCTAAAATTATTAGCCACAGATTGATGGACTAAATCAAGGGTGTCAAACTGGCAGCCCGCAGGCCAGCTGTGTCACATGCAGGCCACGCTCACCCCAGCTCCATGAAGGGGGAAAATGTCACTATATGTCATGTGACAGCAATGGAATGCCGCAAGTTTGATACCTGTGGAATAAATGATTACACAATAACAATCACAGCAACATTTGGAGTAAGGAAGCATTGAGCAGTCCATATGTTATTCATTGAAGTTACAATGACACTGACAAAAGATATGTATGACCACTGTTCATACTTACAACCATAGCAGCATCCTCATGGTCATGTGATCAAAATTCAGATGACTCATACTTATGACAGCTACAGTGTCCAGCGTCGTGTGATCACTTTTTGCTAGTCACTGTGGAAGTCAGATTCATTTAACTACTGTGTTACTAACTGAACACAGAGCCGCAGTGGTGCAGTTGTTAGAGTGCAGTACTGCAGGCTACTTCTGCTGATCACTGGGTGCCAGCAGTTTGGCAGATCGAATGTCACCAGGCTCAAGATTGACTCAGCCTTCCATCCTTCTGAGGTTGGTAAAAGGAGGACCCAGATTGGGGGCAATAGGCTGACTTTGAAAACTGCTTAGAGAGGGCTGTAAAACACTGTGATATAAGTCTAAATGCTATTGCTATTGCTATTAACAACTGCAGTGATTCACTTAACAACTCTGGTGAGAAAGGTCATAAAATGGGCAAAACTCACTTAACAACTGTCTCACTTAGCAGCAGAAATTTTGGGCGCAAATTGGGATCAACTTACATGTATTATTATTTATTATTAAACTTATATGCTGCCCATCTCACCTAGGAATGGGTACCTAGAGGTGACACTAGGTGGCTTGTAATTGTAAAACATTAAAACAATAAATATTGACATTGAAATTGATTTAAGATTGACAAGATGAGAAGGAAGGGAGGAGATAGGATCTTAGCTTAGTCCTTCAACCACCCTCAGAATGATATAACCACTTTGTAGCTCCAAACCAGTTGGCAGGATGTGGTCTTCCAGCCCTTTGCAATGCCCGAAGGAGTAAGTGGGTAATTCTTTAGAGGTGTATGTACTTTAAGATAAATAAAATTTATTAAAACAGAATGATTTTTTTTAAAAAAAAATACAAATTTCATGATTTCAACACTTTAGAATTAACTTTTTAATAACCTCCTCTGAAATAGGGGATGGTTGATCACATTCTTTAATTAAAGAAAACATACCATCTACATACTGTATTTTTCAGAGCATAAGACGCACTTTCCCTCCCCCCCAAAAGTGGGTGAAAATTTAGGTGCATCTTATAGACTGAATACAGGCATTTTTTCCCTCCTGAACCCTCTGTGCGTTGTGTTTTCGCCCTCCCTGGCCCTCATTACACTCTGCAGGCCAAAAACGGGTGCGTTTTAAGTGAAAACAGGCTGTGCGGAACATATTCCACATTTTTCCAATGAAGAGTTTGCATATGTGTAATTGATGGAAAAAACAATCCACCAAGATTACATTCTTTCTGTGAATTTTGGTTTATTTTCTGAGCAGGCATTACCTCTTTCCATCTGTAACAAGAAGTGTCCTCTTGGCCACAGCAAGATAAAAGTGGAAGGGAAATTATCCTGTTGCTATAACTGTAAAATATGTCCAGATGGGAAGATAGCTAATCAATTGGGTAAGCAAAGAATTATTTATTATTTATTTTATTTATTAGATTTTTTTTATTAGAACATATAATTATATTATATGTTTCAATGATATAATAAATATAAATGGGGGTTATTTTTAATAAATAAATATCTTTAATAAATAGTATGATGATTGAAAATATTGAGCGTAGCAACTTATTGAAACAGTGCATCCCCCCTGAGACTCCCCCCCTTATATTTCTTATATTTCTTCTTCTATAACAACTAAAAGATATACAATATATGCCAATTGTGCCCTTATCCCCTCCAAAACAACATATATTCTTGAATAGGTTTATTCCCTTTGCCTTCCAACAACACTGTTTTTATAAAATCGCCTCATATTTCATTATAATTGTTTACATTAATCATCCCTTTTTAAAATTTAATTTCTGTTGTTAATTTATCATTTGTTGCCATACTCCAAATTTCATTATACCACTCATTTTCTTTGAATATCCCAATTTTGTCCCCAATATTTAGCCATCACTAATCTAGCTACCATTATCAACTTTATCCCACCACATATGTTTATATGTTCCAACCTCTTTCTCTCACATCCAACAAATTTTTGTATATTTAATATCTATTTGATTTAATTTACCTGGTGTTAGATACCACCTCCATATCACTTTATATTCATTTTCCTTAACTCTAACTGACATATTCTTATATATCCTTCTGTTCCAAATATTTTTCCAATCATTATCATTTATTTCTCCTAAATCTGATTCCCAAATTAATTTTAAATCTTTTGCCTGACCTTCTAATTCAGGTAATGTTCTATATTTTCCCAGTTCTTCCTTTACCTATATATTCTTCATTCACCTGACATTCTTTTATAATCATTTCAAATTTTTTTAACTGTCTATCTTTCTCTTCAAATCTTTCTTCAATTTTTATCCATTTCTCTGTATTTAATTCAACCAATTTAATTTAATATCTGATAAAGCATTCTTTTGTTGTGTTATATTTTTTATCTTGTTCTTCCATTCTTCCCATTTATACATCTGATTTTCTTTTAATTTACTAATCCATTCTTTCAATTTAATCTTAGGTAATTTCTCTATTTCCACCACTGGTGTTAAAGGAGAAATTCCTAGCACTAATTGGTATCTCCATTTATTCCATAGTTCTAGCAATTTTTTTTAAAAAAGGGTTTTGAATCATCTTAGCAATTTTTAAAACCAATACGTTTCTATAGGTTCACCTATTTCCCTTAATTGTTTCAACTCTACTATTTTTAATTTATATTTTCCTCCATTTCTTCTTTACTATGGTTATATAACATCATTTCTGATTTTTTCCAGTTTATTTGTAATCCATTATATTATCAAAATTTGTTCAGGTGTAAATATATCCTCCGTATAATAACTACGCAATTTTGAAATGTTAATAATGTATCATCTGCAAATAAATTTATTTTAGTTTTTTATGTACACCAATTCCTTCAATCAATGAATCTTCCCTAATTGCATTTGCCAAAACCTCCATCAATAATGCAAATAAAACTGGGAATAAAGGGCAACCCTGTCTCATTCCCGGCTTAAGGTTAATGTCTCTGCAATACCATCATTTATAATTATTCTTGCTTTATTCTCTGAATTATTCTCTAATTTTTTTTCCAAAACCTAACTTTTCTATAAATATCTTCAACGTAGGCCATTCCACACAATCAAACACCTTAAATACATCTAATGCAAATAAACCTGCCTTTAATTTTTGATTCTTTATATAGTAACCTACATTTAATGCCCTTCTTACTACATTTGACATTTGTTGGCCTCTTATAAATCCACACTGGTCATTTTTAATATAATTCTCTATAAATATATTCAGACTATTTGCCAATGTTGCTGTAAAAATCTTAGCGTCCTGATTAATAAGGGATATTAGTCTATACGATCCTGGGTTTGTATGATCTTTATCTGGTTTTGCTATCAGTATTATCAAAGATTGCTTCCAGGAATGTGGAATATTTTCCACATCCATTATTTTATTAAATATTATATATTTAATATTTATATATTCATCTTTGGCACCAATAGTCTTTTAACATTTTTATAATATTCTACGCCTAGTCCATCTAACCATGGTGTCTTACCTATTTTCAATGTATTAATAACTTCCAATATCTACTTTTCTTCTATTTGTGATTCCATTATTTCTTTATCGTATTCTTGAATTTTACAATTTAGATTCTTAATTTTTTTTTTCATACTTCAGTGAGCTACCTGGTGATAAAACCAATCAGTTCATTTTAACGTTAAGCAACAGTAGATTTGAATTATTCCTTCTTATGTTTCCTTGAAATATTATAAACAGCATTTTTCCAGAAACCTTTGTCACTACTTTTTGGAAATAAAGGTAATTTTTCATTGATAATTTTTCCATGGCTTTTACTAGTTTTTACTTCCTATTCCACCCAAATGATTGATTGATTGATTGATTCTGGAATGTATATGGTTGCCTATCTCATATAATAAACCTCAGTAGCTTACCAAAATCTTTAGAAACACAAATCACCCCTGCCATCAGGTACCAGATAAATCAGGCTCCTGAGTCAACCTACATTCTAGCCTAATTCCTCTAATACTTTAGAGGAACAATAAGGTTTTCCAAACCTGCTACAAGGATAAAAGGGTAGGAAACTCACATACATGGAAAAGTATTGGAAAAGACTGGACAGTACAGACCAGATACAACTCTGAACTCCCAGAGGCAACATTTAGCACAAAACTCTGTAGCATGCCCATCTATCGGACTTATTGGGAAAGACAGACACCATTGAAGAAGGGTGATCTCACCTATAATTTGGCCCTATGACATTCAGGGATTTAATGGTGATAACCAGAAAATGGAATTGCATAGACTAAGCAACTTGGAGCCATGTCCATTAAGTGTATGTCCACTGCAATGCAAACCAGTTACACTTTTGAAATGGTCTTCAAGGGCAGCACCATATGAAGGTCATTCTAGTAATCAAACTGAGATCTACTTAAGTCTACAGATGTCTGTAAAATTGAAATATACTGAAAATGAAATGATGAGATAATGTTTCTATGAATGGTTTCTTTTTCAGACTTGGATGACTGTTTCCCTTGTCCAGAGGATCAATATCCAAACAAGGATAAGGATACTTGCCTTCCAAAACGTATAATTTACTTAACTTATGAAGAACCTTTGGGGATTTCTTTGGCAGTTATTGCAGTCTCCTTTTCTGTCATCTCAGCTGTGGTGCTCAGGATATTCATTAAACATCAGGACACACCTATTGTGAAAGCCAATAATAGGAACCTCACTTATAGCCTTCTTGCTGCTCTCCTGCTCTCTTTCCTTTGCACTTTGCTCTTCATTGGGCAACCTGACCAAGTCAAATGTCTCTTGCGACAAACTGCTTTTGGCATCATCTTCTCTGTAGCCCTTTCTTGTATATTGGGGAAAACAATCATAGTGGTCCTTGCTTTCATGGCCACCAAACCTGGATCCAAAATGAGAAAATGGGTGGGAAAAGGGCTGACTATCTCTATTGTCCTATCTTGCTCCTTGACACAATTCTGCATTTGTGTGGTGTGGCTCACAATTTTTCCTCCATTCCCAGATTCTGACAGGAACTCCATGGCTGAAGAAATTATCCAGCAATGTAATGAAGGTTCAACCACTATGTTTTATATAGTCCTTGGCTTTTTGGGGTTCTTGACTGCTGTCAGTTTCACCGTGGCTTTCCTAGCTAGGAATTTGCCTGACAGCTTTAATGAAGCCAAATTTATCACTTTCAGCATGTTGGTCTTTTGTAGTGTTTGGGTATCATTTGTTCCCACCTATTTGAGTACCAAGGGAAAATACATGGTGGCTGTGGAGATCTTCTCCATTTTGGCTTCAGCAGCTGGATTACTGGGCTGCATATTTTCCCCCAAATGCTATATCATTGTTCTGAGACCTAATCTGAATAAGAAGGAGCAACTAATGAAAAAATGAAAATGATTTTAACACCGTACCCTTTGAAAGAAATCTAATTAGTTGCTTTCAGCATATAGGTCCCACCCACCCCCAATTTGAAGTACGGTCTTTTTCCTTCTATCACTACATCAATAGGACATAGAAAGCAATTCTTCTGAGAAGTTTACTTCACAATCTAAAAAAAAGTCCCCTAATCACTTTTTAATTGTTAGATAATTGTTGATTGTTAGATAATGATTCTCAGGCCTAATCAGAGTAGTAGGCAATAGCTTTTTTAACAGATGAACAGAGTTGGAAGGGATGTTGTAGGTCATCTAGTCCAACTCCCTGCCCACGCAGGAGACCCAACAACATTTTTGACCGATGGCAGTCTCTTCTTGAAAGCTTCCAGTGTTGAAGCTCTCACAACTTCTGAAGGCAAGCTGTTCCATTGGTTAATTGCTCTCACTGTCAGAAAGTGTTTCCTTATTTCCAGCTTCAATCTCTCCTTGTTCAGTTTCTATACATTGTTTCATGGACTTCTGGTGCCTTGGAAAATAAGTTGATCCCCTCCTGTCTGTGGCAACCACTCAAATATTGGAACACTGCTATCATGTCTCTCCTGGTCCTTCTCTTCACTAGACTAGTCATGCCCATTACCTGAAATCATTCATCGTACATTTTAACTTCCAGTCCCCTAATCATCTTGGTTGCTCTTCTCTGCACTCTTTCTAGAGTCTCAAAAACTTTTTTATAGTGTGGTGACAAAAACTGGATGCAGTATTCTAAGTGTGGTCCTACTAAGACTTTATAGAGTGGTTTTACTACGTCGCTTGATCTTGATTATGATCCCTCTGTTAATGCAATTTAGAATTTTTGGCTCCCACCACACACTGTTGCTTCATATTTAATTGGTTGCCCACTAAGACCCCAAGATCCCTCTCACATTACTGCCAGTTACACCCAGTCTATATGTCTACTTTTGGTTTTTCTTGCCTTTTCTCTACATTGACTTTCATTTCAATCAAGAAGATATAATCTGCTTGAATGTAAAAATCAATGGATTTAAATCCTGCATTCCAAGAGCTTCACAACATCCCTATCAAAAGAAAGAAAATGTCTATTTTATATCACTCATAAAACTAAAAAGCATCCCTGGTATGTGTGTGAAGGAAAAGGTTTGTCATCTTTTTGGGTGTTTTGATATGCTGTTAATACAAAATTAGGGATATTATGTGTCTTATTTGCCACTTAAAGCATCTTAATATTTCCCCTAATCCTTTTTTAAGGTAGAGGAAAATCCAAATTAAAATCCTTTTCCACAATTTTGAAAGTTTGAGAGTCACTTTGGTATAGCAGGTAAGGTGTTGGGTCAAAAACAGGGGGACAATGTGTTCTTGTCCTCCTTTAGTCATGAAAGCCTAAAAGAAATGTTGTTGTGGAACAGAGGAGATGTGTTTGAAGAAGATGGCATTGGAGAACTGCTTCTCAGCTTCCCTGAGTAATTAATCGTATTCATAATGACTACTGTCCAGTGGTGAGTTGCCCCCGGTTCTCACCAGTTCTATAGTACCGGTAGTAAAACTGGCAGGAGGCTCCGCCCACCGACCCCAACGTCACCAAAACACTTGTCCTGTGCATGCGCAGAAGAGCGAAATGCGCACGCAAACCAATAGTAAAGATAAGTAGAACCCACCCTGCTACTGCCCAACCTTTGTCTTCTTATTTAATTATGTCACTATTATTCCTGTTCCTTGGATGAGATCTAATTCTGCCCTACTTAGATTAATGCATAAGGGGAGCATTGATTATTTTGGGTTAAGCTTGAAGGTGAAGGCAATTATTTTAGACATCCAGTTCATTGTTTCATTCAGCTGGATGTATCTTTTTAAAAATGCATTTGAGATTTGGTGTGATCTGCAATGATATATTGTCCTGGAATCTATTAGGTTCATCTCAGCTGAGTGTATTCCTGGATGGGTTCACAATATTGGGGCAAGAGGGGGAAGGAGGATCCTGTGGAATCCTACCATTATGGATATCATTATTTAATTTATGATGAGAACATGGCATTAGAGCAGTAAACATATACAGTCAAGCCAAGTAACTAGATACAAAACATATATGGGGTATCACAGCGGCTTCATAATTGGATGTCCAATTCAGCTATCGAGGCAATCAACTCTGCCGTTGCTTTGTGCAGGTCTTCTAGGAATTAGAAAATGCACATTGTGGGTAATCTTACACAATATGTTTAATAGGTTGCATTAAAGTTTGCAATACCTTACATCTTCTAGTATCACTCCTATTCTGGTGAATAGATATCTATAGTTTTTTGCTGAATGAGATGAGTTCTGCATTGTAAGTTCATTGTCTGCTCCTGGCAAAATCCTGATGTAATTGAGATTCCAGGGACAGGATGGTATGGTGGTATATATGTTAATAATAGACAACCTATTAAGACAATTACAAGCATTACATATTTAAAGGACATGCCAAAGAAATAGAACTAAAGATCAGTATGTGCAAAGGGAATCTTAGCAAAGTGTAGGTAAATAGAGGAAAAAGACTTTTACAGTAGATATTCCTCAGGAAAGGGAAGGCAGGGCATAAGAAAGAGATTCAGAATACCTTTTCCTCAATTATGCCAGAAATAAGTTGATATTTAGAATAGCTTTGCCAGATTTTCAAGGTTTTTTCCCATTTACTTCACTAAAAATAAATGCCATTCTAAAAAACCAAGGTATTCCAATTTTTCAACCTGCTAAGTTTGAAAGCATGGCAGAATGCAATAGTACAGCTATATATGTCATCATCTTCTCTGCTTCTCCAGAGAAGCCGAAGAACTTATCTCAACAGAATATCAGAATCCATCTCTTATCAGCCAGACAAGGTACAAAAGAAATCAGCCAATCAACGTCTTGAACACATACAGCCCCAATCTCAGGATATTTTGTCCCATTTGGAGAGCCAAACTGACACATGGTACTCTCTCCTGAAAAAGAATGGGGTCATCAATTTAAATGAGCCTTCCCCCATGTTGCCACTAGCTGCACCTTCTCAGAAAATTTACACCAACCTCAGATTCAGGGGTGAAATGCTACCAGTTCAGACCGGTTCAGGTGAACCAGTAGTGGAGATTGGGGCTGGTTCGCTGAACTGGTAGCAATGGCTGAGGGAGCCTGAGTGGGCAGCAGACTAATGCTACTGTTAAAGGTAGTATTTATTTATTTATTTATTTATTTATTTATTTATTTATTTATTTATTTATTTATTTCTATACCGCCTTTCTCCCGTAGGACTCAAGGCGGTGTACAGTCAAGAAAAATATAGACACACAAACATCATAAAATTGCTAATTAAAATTGTTACTTAGTTTGGTCAATTAAATAAAACCCAGAATTAGATAACATTTAAAAAATCATTCGCATGTTTGTATGTTTAGCCCTGCCTGTTGGAACATCAGGGTCTTGAGGGCACGGCGGAAAGCACGGAGATCAGGGATATTCCGTATCTCCAGGGGCAGTTCATTCCAAAGGGTTGGAGCCCCCACAGAGAAGGCCCTCCCCCTGGGAGTCGCCAGTCGACATAATTTGACTCACAGTACCCTGAGTAGTCCCTCCCTGTGAGAACGAACTGGTCGGTGGGAGGCTATTGGTGGCAAAAGACGGTCTCGTAGGTATCCAGGTCCTAAGCCATGGAGCGCTTTAAAGGTGATAACTAACACCTTGAATCGCACCCGGAAGACCACCGGGAGCCAGTGCAGCTCGTGTAGGAGAGGTGTTACATGGGCGTAACGAGCTGCACCCATAATCACCCGCGCGGCTACGTTCTGGACCAGTTGGAGCCTCCGGGTGCTTTTCAAGGGGAGCCCCATGTAGAGAGCATTACAGTAGTCCATACGGGAGGTAACTAGGGCATGAGTGACCGTGCGCAAGGCGTCTCAGTCCAGAAAGGGACGCAACTGGCAGATCAGGCGAACCTGATAAAAGGCACCCCTGGCCACGGCTGTCAAATGATCTTCTAAAGATAACCGTGAATCCAGGAGGACACCAAAGTTGTGGGCCCTCTCTGTGGGGAGCAAGATCTCATCCCCTATTGTCAGTGATGGTACCAGCTGACTATACTGGGACTCCGGAAGCTACAGCCACTCGGTCTTGGAGGGGTTGAGTCTGAGCTTGTTTCTCCCCATCCAGATCCGCACGGCCTCCAGGCAACGGGACATCACAGCAAGGGCATCATTGGGGTGGTCTGGGGTGGAGATGTATAGCTGTGTGTCATCGGCATACTGATGAACACTCACCCCAAAACCACGGATGATCTCACCTAGCGGTTTTACATAAATGTTGAACAGAAGGGGTGAGAGGACTGACCCTTGCGGCACCCCACAAATAAGGTGCCTCAAGGTCGACCTCTGCCCCCCTGCCAACACAAACTGCGAACGGTCAGAGAGGAAGGAGGAGAACCACCGAAGCATGGTGCCCCCTATTCCTAACCCCTCCAGCGGTGCAGTAAGATACCATGGTCGATGGTATCAAAACCCGCTGAGAGATCTAATAGGACCAGGATAGAGGAGCAACCTCTGTCCCGAGCCCTCCAGAGATCATCCACCAATGCGACCAATGCCGTTTCTGTGCTGTATCGTGACCTGAAACCCGACTGGAACGGATCCAGATAGACAACTTCATCCAGGTATCGGGGTAGTTGTCGCGCCACCACACTCTCAACAACCTTCGCAACAAAGCGAAAATTGGAGACTGGACGATAATTTGATAATATAGCCGGGTCCAGGGAAGGCTTCTTGAGGAGGGGCTTCACAACTGCATCTTTCAAGGCAGCGGGAAAGACACCCTCACTCAGAGAAGCATTTATAATCCCCTGGAGCCAGCCTCGTGTAACCTCCCGGGAGGCCAGTACCAACCAGGAGGGACACAGGTCCAATAAACATGTGGCAGCGTTAAGCTTGCCCAGAATCCTGTCCACGTCCTCAGGAGCCACAGAGTCAAACTCTTCCCAGATAACGCTCTCAAGACCTGCCCCCGTCTCCTCCCCTGGATCTACCCAATCGGAGTCCAGACCTTCCCGAATCTGAGCGACTTTATCATGCAGGAATTGTACAAAATCCTCAGCTCGACCCTTTAAGGGATCTTCCCGTACCCCCACCTGAAGTAGGGAGCGGGTCACCCTAAACAGCGCAGCTGGGAGGTTCTCTGCAGATGCAATAAGAGCGGAGAAGTAGCTAGACTTCACCGCTCTTGTCGCCACTAGGTAGGACTTAATATAAGATCTCATCTGTGTTCAGTCAGATTCAGATCGGCTTGTCCTCCAATCACTCTCCAGGCGTCTTTTCTGATGCTTCATTCATATTTAGCTTCCAGCTACCTGCAATTACTGCGAGTTCAATTCTCACCAGGCGCAAGGTTGACTCAGCCTTCCATCCTTTCTAAGGTAGGTAAAATGAGGACCCAGTTTGTGGGGGCAATAAGCTGACTTTGTATAAAATATACAAAAATATGAAGGCTATTGCTTGTAAGCTTGCCTTGTAAGCTGCCCTGAGTCTCCAGAGAAGGGCGGCATATAAATAATAATAATTTAAAAATGGCTGGCTGGCCATGCCCCTGAACCAGTTCATGGCCCGCAGTCCTGCCTTGCTTCCCTGCCTTCCACGTGGCCTTCCTTGCATCCCTGTGCTAGTTTGCGAAGGCAGGCAAACGGAAAGCTACGTGGAAGGCAGGCAAGCACGGCAGGGCTGCAGGGACTAGCAGCTTAGTCCCTTCCCCAAAGACCTTCCATGCTTGCCTGCCTTCCATGCTGCCTTCCTGGAGTCCCGGTGGCCAGCTTGCAAAGGCAGGCAAGCGGAAGCCCACGTGGAAGGCAGGCAAGCATGGCAGGGCTGCGAGGAAGGAGCTAGCAGCTTACTCCCTTCCCTGAAGCCCTGCCATGCCTGCCTGCCTTCCAGGCTGCCTTCCCAAAGGTCCCGCACACTGCTTGCCTTCTGAGGTCAGTGTCTGGCTAACCCCAATCCCACACCCTTGGATAAAAAACACAGCGGCTGCTACCTTTGCCCCATGGGGGAGGGGAGAATGCAGGCATCATTCCAAGCAGCCCTCCTCATCCTCCTCTTCTCCTCCACCAGCTTCAAGGCTGGGCAAGGCTCAAGTGGCAAGAGGGAAGGCAAGATGACCACAACTTTCTCCTCCTCCTCCTTGCAGGGTTCATTGAGTTTGTTTTGCAAGCTTGCCCGAGATTTGCAACTTTGCACAGCCTTTGTGGCTTTTGTGCAGCAAGCCCCCCTTTTCCTCCTTCTCCTCCGCAGTTCTAATGT